CCCCCCCCCCCCCGTCCCCCCCGACCCGGGTGGAGGCACCTTCACATCCTGTTTGCTGGCAGGGCCAAACAGGAAGAGATGCTGGGCTCTGAGCATCTCTGACCAGAACGGGTCCTCAGACAGGTCTGTTTCAGCTTCAGACAGAAAAACTGCTCCCTAGATTTTAATTTCCTCTTTCTAAAGAAACATTTACATGCAATCAGTTGTTTTTTTTAGTGGATAAAATTTATTCTGAAATGTGTCACTAAAAGTTGGAGGAAATAGGATTCTAAATAAATGGATTAGATTTGGTTGAATTTAGACCTTAGGAGGGTCATTGTGATAGAAATGTTTAAGCTAAAAACCAAAGACTATATATTTAAAAAATATGGACTTAGGGAAGTCTCAAGTTCACCATTTTAAAGTAGAAAATCACAGTATTTATACAAGAAAGTGGAGCAAGAACAAACATATCTGTCTTGATATGGCACAATTTTCACAATAATCTGCTAAATGTGTAGTTTTTTTAGTAGAAGTGGGCAAAAGTACCAACTATTTCAGTGGTTTAATATTCAAATATTGATTTAATAGTTTGAAAAAACCTAACCATGAAGCCTCGTTTCACATCAGAGCGATCGTAATATCAAAGTCACATGACCACGCTCAGCTCTGCTCAACACGCTGCTTTGTTGACTTATCACACAAACACACAAACACACATCTCCCCCTCCGACCTTCTGCAGCTCTTATTTCATCACAGACGGGCAGCAAACATTTCTCCACTGCTGGAATGGATGGAGCCCATCAGAGGCTAACCTCTGGTAGAACACGTGTGATTGGTGTGTGACTGGTGTGTGTGTGGTGTGTGTTTGGTGTGTGTGTGGTGTGTGTGTGTCATGAGCCCGGCCCCTGTGATGGGCAGGGGGATGGCTAAGGTCAGTGGGGCCCTTAGTGAGATTTATTGGGACATTACAGGTTAGCATGGTGGCGTTTGCACATGCTTCCCGCCTCGGCCTCCACTGGGCGCTCCCTCTTTTTGTGCTTAGCGTCAGCCATGTTCTTTATGGGCGTTCTTACTGCTGTGCCATTACTCCATGTCCTTCACACCTCTTCCTCTTCCCCCCCCCCCCCTGCCTGGGAGGACAGTTTAATCAGGGGGCCGGCGCCCGTGGGCCTCCCTCCTTTTTCATCACGCCGCGGTGCTCTTCAGGGGGAAATAGTTTCACAGGGCTTCTGCTTCATCTTCCTCAGTCCTCTCTGATTGTTCCCTCCTTCCTCTTATCTCTTTATCCATCTCTATTCATTCATCCTCTAGATCTGGCCATCCTTCATGGCTGCTCGCCCTCTGGCCCCTTCTGTGTCTTCTCCACCTTTACAGCTCGAACAAAGGCGAGCAGCAATCAAATCTCGCCCAATCAAAAGGTCGTTATGCCATTTTTACACCACGGCTCAAAATCACACAAAGCAGAAGGCGTCTGGAGGAATGCGATAAATCGCTTCCATTCAAACGCTTTCAGACTCAAACTGTAAAAGCTTTTGCTATTTTTTAGTAAGCAGCTGAGAAAAAGATGTTTTTAAAGTCCTAAAGATCGAGCTGAGGTCTAAAACTGCTCCGCCATTACACTAAAACTTCCCCTGAGCGATTCCACACCTTGAATGTTCATGTAATATGATTACCAACGAGGTGCACAACTCTGGGAAATGGGCTGCAACCAGATTAGGATTCGAGTGGGTAATTTGTAACTTTGCAATCCTTGGAAATTGCTCTGGAAAATGAGATTCTCCTTCAAACAATTCAATTGTTTGCCTGCTGCCTCCTTGAATTGATTTCCCCCCTGATCATTACACTGCTCTTACTGGCAGGTTGGCATGCACTAGAAACCCCCCCCCCCCCCCCCACCCCCCCCCACCCCACACACACACACACACACACACACCTGCTGAAAGCTCAAACCGATCCATCAGGGCTGCGCCTGAACCTCCGGTTGCCTCTCAGTTGTTGAGGTGCTAAGCGGATATTGCAGCTATCCATTTGCTCACAAACACACACAACCAGACAAACACTCAGAGAAACGCAGGAACCACCGGACATCACGTGCACGCCCGAGTGAACGGGGGAGGAGGAAAGACCGGCCAGATCCCAAAAAGAAACAGTCCTCCCTGCTGCTTTCAGTGTCCATGTGCAGATTATTGAGGAGCGGCGGTCAGCTGGCGCGGCCTGATTGAGCCGTTTGGCCCCCAGGCGGAGATTTACAGCCGCCCTATCTGCAGCGCTGCCACCTGGAAGGTGCAAGCCGCCCATTCGTCACAGAGGAGCTGCAGCTCCTCAGCCAACATCAAACTGTTTTGCTTTTCCGACTCTCCTTCCACTCATGTTACTGTAAACGGGACATTTACAGGTCATGGATTGGAGATCTGAGGTGGTAAACATTGGGTTTTTAGCTATTTTTAATGTCAATGTGGGACAGTATAAGGGGTAAGAATTTAAGTGGAAAGAGGTTTTTACATAGAGGGTGTAGAAACAGTTTGAACTCTAATCTGATATGTCAAAGATTACAAATAATGGGATAAATCCTGTATGATAAACCCCTTCAAATCAGTCCCTTCCATCCTGTGGGAGGAGTTTGCCCTCTCTATCATAGCTAGCTTGCTAGCTAATGTTCATTATCATATCTCAAAGACTGGATTTGTTTTGGTGTAAAATTCTCCGACCACAGAGGTAACAAAAAAAATATTAAAAGCTACCACAAATGGAAGCAAACACAGCTCATATAAGGAGCTATCTAAATATTTCAGCTTATTTCTAGTTTTGTAGAGACGATAAAAAGGCACCAACAGAAGGAGTTAAATAGCTTTTGTCAGTTTGCCAAGACTAGAACATTCAGTCTACTGTCTAAGCTGCATTTTCGACAGGTTTCATATTACGATACTACTCCTCCTCATTTTCTGTTGTATGAACATCAAACACACAAAATTCATACTGCAGCCTCCTGTGAGGAATTACAATAATTACAAACCAACAACCTGATACTTCCATTTGCACTTTAACTGCTCACAGTTAAGGCCCCAGTGGTGAGTGGGCTCTCACACCAGACTTTAATAAGAGAGTTATGCTCCTTTGAGTTAGATTATGAATGCGGATCACTTACTGGCCACAGTAGCTGTATAAAAACTGAACTAGTTAATCTTAGCATGGCACATAAAGGTGATCTTTAAATCTATTATCATTTAGTCCATAAAGTCCAAATGACAGAGAGACTTTAACTTTCGGTTTCGCGTTGGTCCCTGAACTCATCACGGAAAGTCAAATAACGGCCACAGCTTCTTACCCAAAGCCACTCGGGCTGCCGAGGCGTCATAGTTTATCCAGAAGGAGACCCAGGAGAGGATGGTAATCAGGATCGATGGCATGTACGTCTGCAAGATGAAGTAGCCTATGTTCCTCTTTAGCTTGAAGCTCAGAGACAGTCGAGGGTAGGCACCTAAGGAGGAGGAAATCAGGACTTTAAAATCTGAGCATCACACCGATGTTTACGGTCAAAAGAAACCTATAAAACATTTTTATGTAAAAATGACATCTGAGTTTGCTTCGTTCAGGAGCACCTTGTGTTTTTGTTTCAGTTTCCATGACAACCCTGACAGCATGGGCAGGATTTATCACCATGGTAACAAGCATCCCCATCACAACCACCCTAGCACACACACACACACACACATAGCAGCAGCCCCTATTTCGAGATGAAGTGTCATAATATTCAGGAGGAACATTTTTATTTGTCATTACTTCACATCTTCCCCTCCTACATGATTCATAGCATGAGTCTGACGGTTTCAGAATCATCTAAAGCTTTATGAAAATAGATTTATTCTGCCATGATCTGAGAGAGACTCCTGTCATTAATTCCTCCATGACCTGGAACATAAACAGAGAGTGTGTGTGTGAGCATTAAGTGCTGATATAAAAGACGGTGAGTGATTTCTCATTAGTCTCTCAGCGTTATGTCTCTCTGCAGACTGTATCCATGGCTCGTTACTCCCACTATTCTTAGCCCTTTTTCCATTTTCGTTTTATATTGGCGGAGAAGTGGAGCCCATTATGGTGTAATTTCCACTCTGTGGGTTTCAGCCAAAGCTACTTATGGTGAGCGTGGGTCCAACCAACTGCAGGCTTTCATGTACTACTGGGTAGAAAGTGACTGTACTGGAAAAAAGAAACAAACATCCATTTTCATTAAGATTCACTCCCTGCCGCGCATTACAGTGCAATAAAAATGGCTGCATGTTATTTCAGAAAAAGGCCATTCATGGAATCTATCTCTAATTCACTTTGTTGCTGGCTGATATTTCATGACAGAAATAAATCAAATCAGCTCATTTACGAGCATTAATGAACTCGGGCTTCAATGATGCCGCTCCAAAAGTTGACATGAACAATAAAGGTTCATCCATCTAATCTGGGAGCTGACTTAGGTCAAATATGCAATATAAGGGATTACTCCCAACATACACATACATATGTGTATTTAAATATATATTTGGTTGTTAATGTTTTAAAAATCAATGACAGCTAAAAACTGGACATTCCTCTGACTGTTAAAGTGGTCAAATTGTTTAAAAACACCCCCCCTAAAGGAAATTATTTACAACACTTTGGACTACCCTCTTCTTTTGGGTCTGTATTTACAACTCTGGCACCAGTGAACAAAGTCGACACATGCTTAACATATATTACAGCGTGAAAACGGGAACAGACTGTGGCATGTCTTTAAATAGCCCATTCATTCCCTCCAGACTAAATCAGAACAGAGTATCTACACAGAAACACATGTAGAGGTGGCCTCAGAAAAGAGGAGGCTCGGGTACAGCAGCATGGAGGTGTAGAGCTCGACTGCTGCAAAACACGATGAGATCAGGAAAGGGAGGAAAAACAAAGAGATGTTGAGACTGCCAGAGTCTGGGAGGACGGCTGGTCGGATGGAGGAGCCACTTCTTTCTTTCTGGGAAAAGTTGCAGCCAAGACAGTTTTAGCACCCCAAGAAGCTTGGAGAAAAATTAAATGAGTGTTTAACACCTCCACAGATCCAGCACGTGCCAAACTGGTACTATTTCAGTTAGATTAGCTAAAAATACCACAAACACCAATCCAACCAAGTCTGTCAAGTCAAGGATCAGGAGTAGAGAACGTTTTAGGGGGTTAAAGAAAAAAAACAGAAAATCTGTAGACAATAGAATAGAGAAGTGTAGAGGCAGCAAATTAAGCAAGAAAAGAGCCAGTAAAGTTAAAGATGTGGCGGATATAAAGCAAGTGGCATTCACTTTTGGAGCAAAGGCAAACGGTTTGCCATAACTGGGATATTTCAAGATGTTTAAGTTTTTGCTTCAAATTGAAAAATGGAGGAAATGTTGAGGAGTATCAATTAAAAAACAGAGTGGATAGCTGATTTGGAACGAATGCAAAGCTCCAGTAACACACCAGACAGAAGGATTTTTGCTTTTTGCTTGAAGTTTTACACGTTTTCGGTACAAACCAAAGCTACCACATGGGATCCATGTTGCTTTAGAGTAGAGAAGCTGTGCTAGTGTGCAGTATGAGTCATCGAGTATGAGTTTAGTCAAAGAAGAAAAGAAACCCTTCAATAAAAAACCCAAATTCAAGTTCATGTTTCCAAAGTTTATCGACCCTCAAGAAAAAATACTCTGCCTCCACAAAATAAAGAATGCATCTTTTGTGTGAAGAAGAAAAGGATAATAGGTTGTTCTAATTAAAAATGAGGGCTTTCTGGTCTGTTTCTGCGCCATATCATGCAAAATGATGACATTAAGATGCTTTTGAGGGTCTGACTTTGCAGCATAAGGACATCAGTGATGGAAGCTGTAATGTTGATGCATAAACACACTCAAATGTCACTAAACACTGATGATGATGCCTGGACAGGCAAACTGCATGAAGGCACCCAGGCAGCCGTGTTTGAGAGCGTGTTTACAGCAGAATAATTGATGTTGTGGGCCTGTTTCCACATGAACACGCGATGCCCTGAATTCTGCTCTGTTTTTCCGACTGAAAGCAGGATAACTGACACCCAAACGCACCTTTTACAAGCACCACAAAAGGTGAAGGATGAGATTGAAGAGTGGGACGGGGAGATGTGGGGATGGGAGGGAAGCTAAAAGCCGGCTTGTAGGACACACGGAGCAGGAAACCTGGTCCTAAACCAGCCGTCGGGCGGCCTTTGATGTGCCTGCAGATCCACCAGAGGAGCTGAACTTCAACAGTCTCCACCCGCAGGGGACAGGCCAATTCATACAAACAAGCGCACCCAGAGTGGCGTCCTCTGCTCGTTCTGCTCGGTCCTCATGCTCAGACACCAGCGAGCAGTGGTGGTAAAAGCGAACGCCCCCCTGATCCGGAGGAAGTCAAACGAGGGTGCAGAAGATCCCAAAAAGCAGACAAAAGAGCGATTTGCTTCTCGGTTCAGATCGGACAGGCCTCCCCCTCCTGAGCACAGCCGCAGTTCCACGCTTTTCTCACTAAATGTCACACAGCTTTTTACTTCCCAAAGCTCTGGATTACAAGCCGGTCAGTTAGTTAGAGTCAATGAAGCAGCCTGGAGTGGAACGCGCCCATAAAGCCAGGCTCGTTTTGAACTGAATCATGAAAATGTGACTGTTGTTTCTCCTCTTCGCCGCTCTGAAACATTTTAATTACGACGCGAGATGTGATGCAGTGAATTCTTGCAGGCAGCAACCTGACAAATTGCCCTAATGCGTCACCGTGTCTGCTAATTGCTTACCCCAAGAGATGAGGCCCTCTAAAAGCACAAAATCCGGAGTTGTTCTCACAAACAACACATGATTGATGTGTTTTGCAGCGGCAGCAAATGAAGACGCCAAAGCTGACAGATTAAAGGGAACGTGCGTCTGCTCGTTACAGCTTAATCTAATTTCATTTGAGTTGTTGTTTAGTCTGATTTGTAAAACAAGTAGTGACAGCTGATCACTGAGATAAGCTTTCAGAATGGAGCAACTGTTGAGTAATTGAACCATCCCATTATTTTTATGTATTTTTCAACTCCAAGCTGTAAAAATTCTGTAAAAACACTGACAGGATCTAATCATATCAGGAGTGTTTGGTGTAATTATTCATTATAAGGCAGTCCTTTGCTTCCTCGAGAAAAAAATGGGTAAAAACAACAATTTCTATGACTTTGAAAGACCGAATATGCTGATATCTGAGCGGGAGCACAGATCCCGCAGGCCTTTGGCTTCAAGCAAAGAAAAAAAGGATCCTCCTAAACATGGTGTCATCTTCCAGAGACTCTGTTTTCTGCCCTAAATGCCACACTAGCAGGAGGCAGCCATGATGGTTGGCGAGGCAGGTGGCTGCCCAGTTGTTTCCCCCCACATTCGCCTTGTGCACACTCAGAACTCCTCAATCTTCAGTTTAATCTGTTATAAATCTAATAAATTTGGAATTGAATCCATTCTGTTATGAAGAACTGGACTCCTACTGTATCTTTGAAGTGCTGTGAGATGGCGTTTTCTGTGATTTGATGCCAGATGAATAAAAGAAACTTCATTATTTTGAACAGCAGCTTATTAGGCCTGAACCACTGAGTATTATTTAAGCTTGGAGACAAGTTTTTCTAATTGGATTGGCTGACTTTGCAGACACTGGGCTATCATTTTTCTAACCTCAGCTCAATAATGGAGCCGTCCAGTCCATCAAAAGCCACCTCGCAGGGTCAACAGCCGCCCGCCGCGGCATCGCCGGCCCCCGACGAGGCGCCGCTCTGACATCAACTGCTGCTACTTCAGGGATACTTCAAAGGAAGCTCATTTCCTCATTTCAACCCAATTAGAAGCACTGACAAACAGCACTGTGGCTCTGAGGATTCAAAGCCAGCCATCGTGCTTTGGCACAGATTCATCTGCAGCAGAAACTGATTAAATAATCAGCTTTGAGAGGCTTCAAACGCCTCACATTCGGGCGATATTGTCCTTAAAAACTCGGCTCTTACCTGTGGAAAACACCACGTTTCTGGACACCAGCTTGTAGTCGACGATGGAGAACTGCGGCAGCTCGATGCGCGTCACCCCCGTCACGGCCGTGTCGCCGCCTTTCCAGTAGAACTCGATGTCATCTGTGGTGTAGCCATCTGCAGAACAGAGCACACACACACCAAGGTGTAACCATCTGTCAGCGCCTCGCCGGAGACAAGATATGCAGCGCTGCCCATCACCCAACCGGGCTGTCGATGGGGAAGAGGAGGAAGAGGAAGAGGAAGAACAAGAAGAACAAGAAGAACAAGAAGAGAAAAGCACGTTTGAAGTCGTGTCCAGAGACGCTTTTGAAAAGCCGTTCATCGCTTTCTTACAGTTTGTTTCAGCTTTCTTTGTGTATCACTAATCATTGAAATCTTGAAATGTTTCCTGGATAAATTAGCAGGCTAAGCACACTTTTTGTTAACTCTCTGGGTCCTAGTTTTTGACCAACATAGGTTTTGACCACCATTGTATTTCATCTTGAAAACTGTTCGTTTTGGATTGTTCAGTATTATTTTGTTTGACACTTTCTTTCTTTTTTCATTATGACCGTATTGAACACAGATTAAAAACAAAAATAATGCACAAATAATCAAATCTGAGCAGGAAAAAGTTGCAGTTTTCACTGTGAAAGTCACTAACATTCACTTAAACGGCCAATCAGGGAAAAGCACAGCCTACATCAGTGTTTTACACTTCGGATTAAAACGGTTTAAAAACTGGTTTATAGATTCAAGTCCAAACTTCTGATCGGAATTATGGTTGAATTAAACTTTTGTAATCAAAGGTTTTAACAGGAACTATTTTAGGATCAAAACGCCTGGTTCAGTGGCCAAGAGCAAATCAATGCACGGTTCTTTGGGTCAAACCTTATGGACAAAGGTCTTGATGACCAGCCGGTGTTGAGAATGACGCCGGTCATTAGGGTTAAATCTGCCAAAATCCACTTCCTCTGAGGGATGTTTGGGCTCACTCTGTAGCTCAGGGCTCTGGTCCAGTCACCCTCAGGATGCAACAGGGCCCCTTTGGGAGAAGACCTCAGGAGACCCAGAACTAGACGAAGAACATACTTACTGCGTAGAAGTCTTAAGCCACCCCTTTTTTCTTTATGTTTTTCCAAGGAAAATGGTCATGAACAAAGCACTGTACTCCCAAGGGAGACAAAAAGCAGCGAAAGACTAAAGGAAAACTCTGAAATCCCTGCAGAAAACATAAAAACTTTAAAAGATTACAAAGAAGCAGAATAAAAGGAGACGAGGGCCAGATCAGGACGTTTGCTCAGTATTAGGTCTGCTGGCTGGTGGGGGAATGACTCTGAGTCCCTGTGGAACGGCTGGAGGAGGAAGTCCCAGAAAACCTCCTGAAGATAAAAGCCTGGATTATTTCAGTTCGATAACTACATGTATTTAAGGGCTTCTCGTCTAAAATAGAGGTGGTTTTATCCAGGGCTTCTTTGGATAATGGCCAATGCTATTTTAGCCCGACTCCTATTCTCCAGATACATCCCAGCCCTACAGAGCCAGAGTCAGTGGGCCAACTGGGAGCTCCCAATGATGGATGGTGAATTTATGAAAGGGCAAATTTCCCCACAAACACTCCCAAACTGTTTTTCTGTGAAGCCTTTCACTGCTACAGCTCTCTAAACCCTGACAAAGCCACTCTGTGAAGCAGCTCTCACGCTGAGCTCAGAGTCCACAAATTAGCGACGACCAGACAGAAAATCTGTGCATTTTTGCCTCTTTTGTTTTATGACTCTGTCGGACAAATAACTGCAGCAGAGCGTAACAGAGAAGAACGAGCAGGTCGAATATTGTTTGATTCATTTCACACATGAGTGGGGGGGCCTCACTACTCACAGCTCTCTATCTCCAGAGTGCAGTTCTGCTCGTCCAGGGGATACCTCCTCAGATCCATCATGCAGGCCGCGGTCGTCGTTATCCTGAAAAGGCAAACGCAGACGGAGGAGGAGGAGAGAAAAACACACTCAGTGGACAGGTCAGGACGGGTGAGGGAGGAAGTCAGCGCGCGGAGGAATGTGGGAGTCAAATCAGATTAAAAGCATTAAGGTGAAAGCCCCAGGTGTCGTCTATCATCTTTAAAGGAAGCCGACCCTAACCCTGTTGGTCTGTTTCTCACCAGCACTCGGTTTCACATAACAGCAGACTATTGACATTGTCATTTGTTGATGCGATTACACCGCTGCCTCCTTGTTAAAACGCTGACTGTAACGGCTCCATCAGGTAACTGTAGGTCAACCTGAGTTTCAGAATGAGTCCGCGTCCCCGTTCATCAAACCTGGCTGCTCTCAGATGTCTAAACACTGAGCCCGGTCGGGGGGAAGAATCCCTTCGTTTATCAGACGTGAAGCTCCATCGGCTGATAATCAGGCAGTTAAAAGAAGCGGCAAAGTGAAATGCAAATTCAAAATGATTTAGGCTAAGTCTGGCCTGATTAAAGCTGGCTGCTTGGCAGTTAGCCACCGCACATCTTCACTGAGTTAAGGCTCAGAGGAGGCTGTGGAGAGGCATTAGCTGATAATATTATACAGCTAGAATTACTGCAACATATGGGGCTTCAACAGCACAGATGTATTGTAATTATTGTGACACAGAGCATGTTCCACATTAGATGATACAGAAAACTTCAGCAAGCCAAGAAAAGACACAACCTATCTCTAAGGGTTGGCTTTCTGGTCACCAGTCGACGTCAAGGCCTCTTTTTTTACTTCATTATCAGTGGATTTTTCTATTTCTTCCGATTTTTAGGGTTTGATGTTGGGAAATGTTGCCTGTAGAGCAAATATCTCACAGGTGGCTTTGAAATGGCTGTTCTGAATGTGCCTTCGATGAGAAATGAAAAACCAGAATTTGTCATTTTGACGATTTTTTAATACTTATTTGAAGTCATATTTCCTCAATGGGATATATAAAAAAACTCCAAAAAAGAGTGAAAAATCTAAGGATATGATTCGCTAATGGGCTTGATAACATAGGAAAGTGGAAATCTGACAGATTACCTCCTGTTAAGTGAAGCTACAACGATGTCAAAGTCATTCCCAATTAGAAAGATAACAAGAAACACACTGACTATTGCTATTGTTATCAGATCCAGTTAGAAAATATGGCTGTGTCTAACAGAAGCTAGCTAGTCACTGGCTGAAGCACATTTTATTAAATTCAGTCATGTATTTGGTGAAGTTTGGTAGAGAATTAATCCCTTAATATGTGATAGCGACCTGCTTTTGGCCTGATGCTGAGCTTTACCTGACACTGGTTTATCAAACAGCTCCTTTCACAAACACCGGTCCCACATTTGCCTCTCTCTTTGATCTTCTGCGAGGCCTTAAAGTAGCCCACCGGGCTGCGCACCGCACTCGCATAATCAGGCACAGCAGTTTGACTTTTAAGTATGAGCACTGACAGATGCAAATGCATGTACGCAGGTTCACACCCAAACAAAGACACACAAAAAACACGCTTTTTGCTCCACACTCTGAAATTCAAAGCTTGCATCCATATTCATAGAGAATGCAAACTCCTCTGAGCCTGCCTGTCGAAAAGATCAATGGAGCCCTCCAAACAAGGCCTTCCTGAAACTAAACTGGAGTTAGCACTGTGCATCACGTCCACCATGAGCAGGACACACAACCGTCTGGCCCTTCAGCAGGAGCCACTTTCTCTGATTGCCACAACAGGGTTTAAACTCACAGAATCACCTGGAACATCGGCAGTCACTCTGCTGCCTCTTCTGAGAGCGTTCGACTATTTGCATAGCTCAGAAAGTGCACATAATCACCGTAATCATGTAAATTTTCTCGCTTCCTGGTGTATAATTACATCTTGACGCAATTTTGAGGTCATTGATATTCATTAAACAAAGGTAAATGTCATTCTGTACTTTCAGCCAGTGTACAGACACGACTACAGACCGGTTGGAAGCCATTTTTGCTGTCAGATTTTGAGGCTTTTCAAGGATTTTCTTCCTTTACATCAGCATGTTTTACAGTTTTTGGTGCGCAAAGTGCTTATTAAGTATCTTAATAACCTAAACTCTACTTTTTTTACTTAAATACATCACCATCACACATACTTACCATATCACCTGTCTGGCAGCTAAATCGGCAAACTCCAAAGGATTATAATGAGCTGTATACATCCAGTAATGTTGGATCAATAAACCGATCAACCAGAATAAAAGGGCTTTAAAGAGACAGGAGCATACATGAGAAAAATAGGAAAAATTATGCATATTGCTCAAGGTGTGTTTTGAGGAGCAAGACCCTTCAGAGGGAAAAATAGCACAAAACGGAGCCAAAACGGAGCCAGAAATTCCAGCTTCTGCATGTACTCCAGAGTAGAAAAATGTTAAAATTCCTTTGTTAAAGGTAGAACTAGTTAAATTTCTTGATTTCAGCCCCATGGATTGACGCTTGGCCCCCGATTCCCAGAAACTAGAGAAGAAATCTCCCATATCTCTCCTGCAAAGCCTTTCAGTATTCAGAACAGATTAAACTCCCATCAAAAAAACGTATTTTTCCCCTCTAATTTCTGAAGATTCAGAGTGATGCTTTTCAGAAGAGACATCAGCCTTGTCTCTAGAGCTGAAAAATAGATTTTGGGTTTGCATATTTTAGCCATTCTAAGTGAAAAAATGCAGGAATTTGAGGATTTTAAGGTGGAGCAGCCCAGAGAAGCTTCCTGTACCTGAGTCCATAGAGAACGGTTCCGTCTGGATGGAGGCGGATCATGCGGTTTTTCACTGTGACCCCGTGAACAAACGACTTCTTGTCGTTGAGGAAGTAGGTGTCCGGGACCCAGAGCTGATCGGCCACCCTGTTGTCCAGGGTCAGGTTCAGCGGGATGCCGAGGTAGGCCAGGCGCTTGTCCCTCCAGTACTGCTGGAAGTACATGGTCAGGGTGTAGTCCTGCGGACAAAAAACAGCCACGTTAGAGCTAGCAAGCTAAGTCAGACCTTAAAAAGCAACATTAAAGTCCACCGTGAGTGCTCCTAATATGAATCTGACATGACACAGCTTCCTGCTAGCTGCAGGGAGTGTGGGCCAACTAGTTCACACTCTGCAGCCCGATTCTGTGAAGGCTCTCTGCCCTCGCTTTTGGAAAACAGTAACCCAGGCAGGAGCACCAGCATGTGGGACGGATGACTCATTTAGCAGCAGCTTTGAAGGGAAAAATGCTCAAAGAAAACCTCTCAACCTCGGTGGAGTTTTTCTCGATATCCACAAAGAGGAACCGAAGGCTTTGGAGACATTTGCTGCCTTTCGTTTGATTTAGATGGCTGACACTTGAGCTCTGCTCGAAGCTTTTCTGAATGCCTCCCTGCTGGGGTTTCTTCTCCATTAGGGAAAGCTGGACCCAAAATCACAACACTCCTCAGAGGTCATACCTAATTTGTTCATCCAAAAGGTACTTTCCATTTTAGAGACCATCACCGAGCTCTTTTTACTGCAGCCTGTGATGCATTAGCATGTTAGCCTTAAGATTAGAATATTTTCTGTCCTTTAAAAGATTCAACTTCAAGCTCTAATAAAGCTCCACTGGAAATGTTACTGTTAACGTCACCCTGAAAACATATTTGGCTAAAAAAAAATCCTCAGTAGATACTAGTTACTCGTAGCTACTGTAAAGCCCTCCGTCCAATAGGAGAGGAGCTCTCAAAGCCCCGCCCACCTGAGAGGTCTGTGCCAGAAGAGCAAACAAAAAAGGAGAGATGATAGGTGGAGAAAAACCTGGAGAATTCATTCAAACAGAGAGAAGTTGAATACTTTTTCAATTACACAAAACGTTTCCATACAAATCGCATGTTTTTGCTTTAATTCTCTGTACTTTTCATTCCGCTCACAGCAAATGCTGGGATCTACGTCCCTCTTAAATCTCTTTAGGTAAAGGCGAGATAAGCCGGGGCGGATCACCTGTGTGGGGCAGTGTGTGATGCTGAGCCTCCTGGGTGATCCAGGTCTGAATTAACAGGAACACCTTAATATCACAAATAAGACGCCCAGACCTTCACCATGTGGCACCAAACTCAACTTTCCACGTACGAGGAAACGCCTGGTGTGTCAATAGATGTTTTGGTTTTTACATAAATTCAAGTAATATTTGATAAGCGCAGAAGCAGCATCAGAGGACGGAGCCCCCCCCCCCCCCCCCCCCTCTCTCCCCCACCTCATCCACCCCCCCACCCCAACAGTCTCTCCCCTCTATTTCTGTTCTCCTCTCTCACACCTCTCCCTCTCTCCCTCTCTCCCTCCCTCTCATCCTCTCGGGGCAACGCGGTGATCTTTCCTCTGCCCGCTGTGGAGCAGAGAAAAGCAGGCTGCACCACGCTGGTGCTGGTGGAGCCCCACATGTCCCACGCAGGTGCACTCTCTCAGGAGCCAAACGCACCAAAATGGCCACCAAAACGCCCAAATTATGCTCATTTGTGACCGAGCCGTTACATAACTGAAGCAGTCGTTTGTTTCCCTGCACTAACTCTGTTAGTAACACTCACAGAACAAAAGGGTTCCGCATCTTTATCAGGAGAAATACAAAATAAAACAAATCAAACGTTAAATAACGCCAATTCATGCAACCTTCTGAATATGAAACCATCCCCCCGTTTTCTCTGATAGTTCATGTTGAATGAACATTTGGGTCCACACACAGAGCTGAGAAGTGGAGGATCTTAGTCAGCACAGGATCCAGATTGGTCACACAGCATGCTCCCTGGCACGCCTCCAGAAATGTATAGTGATGGAGGCATGGCATGTTTGGCAGTCTGAGCCTCCACACAATGCCCAGCAGAGGTAATTACAAATCATTTGGGGGGGGAGGCAGGATTTAGCCCAGCAACAACCTTTACAGTACGTCACACCAGATAAACCCTCTAAATAAAAACCACTTTTGTTAAAAACAGATCAACCTCCGGTTGTTTTCATTGTGAATTAGCTCAATAAAGACATAGAAATGACCAAATGTTTACAGACTTTATGAGGTCATTTCTCAGCAAAAACCAAAAACAAAAGTTCATTCAAAATTAATTCTACACATTAAAATGTGTAAATGGACTTCTAATTTGTACTCTAAGATGTAGTCAGAACCAAACAAGCTGGGCTTCAGGTTTATGCTCCTAAAATCTGGTCTTGCTGTTTGAATTCAGGCTGAAAACTGGTCAGTTTAGCTGGGATGCGACAACTGAACGTAGGTTTTTCTGCACCCTTCACTTTTAATCTATTTAATCAATTATTGTTTTATTTTGTGGAACTTATTCAGACTTTTTTGCTTTTAACCCTTTAAAGCCCGATCCAAGAATAAAACAAAACAGAAAATTACTTTTTTTTGGTTTGAATTCCTTATTTGACCTTTTAACAAAATATGTAAAAAGAATGAACAGAAATACTTTTTTAATATTAATAATTTATTACTATGCGATAAGTCAAGATTATTTTTTGTGTAGTCTTCTGCCCCCTGTTATCAGGTGTATCTGATTGTGTACAACAGGATTTTGAGCAAAGTTTTCACCATTAAATTATGCAAAAGGGGTCAGAGGTAAAACATTTCAGAAACCGTATGAATCAAATATGACACATTTGGCATCACAGGGTTAAACTCACTGTAAAATGGCCTAGCCTAGCCTAAATCTGGTTAACGGTAACGGTCATAGTTTAATTTAAAGCGGCTGCTGACCCTCTCAGCTGCTCAGTGGATTCGGGGCCCGTATCTCCCCCTTCTCACCATCACCCCAACCTCACCCTGATCATTTATCCTATTCCACGCTGCCCTGTAGAGACTCTCACTTCTCATTCCTCCTCCTCTCCCTCCTCCGGCGCTCAGGCCCAGGTCCCCCCCCCCCGAACAGCAGGTGGGCGCCGGGCGAGCGCCACCTCATACATAAATGATTTAAACCCACTGTGTAGCCTGTGTAAACACGCGGACGAGAAGTCCTCATCAATCTTGCATGCAGACAATCAAAATGAATTTCAGATGAGAAGCAGCTTTGTAATACCTGCCCTGGAACTGTTTTTTTTTTTTTCTTAGAGGAGTAAGCTCTGATTTCATACGAACTAGGACTCCCCATGATCAATTATTGACAACTCCCCCGATTCCTGATTCACTCACTTTCCCAGTTGCTGTTTGTTATGGAGAGGAAATAGACTCCATGTATCTGTGCATGTGTAATGCTTGATTGGTAAATTGTATAAACCTGTTTGTGAGTAGATTTCAACAAAGATTCATGCTTTCATGGAGCGTTTATGTCCTGTTGGAAAGCTGGGTCATTTGACATTTCTCCCAAGTGCAGTATAATTCCCTCCATATATGTGTATTTTTTATACATACACACAATATATATATTTATATATACGTCTATAATACAATGTGAGACAGTTTCTGGCTAAATGAAATGCAGCCACCTCATTTTAAAGTGATTCCTAACTAACACTGTTTGTGTCGAGGGACTTCAGACTTCCCTCCAGCACCAAACTAACCAAAATGGAAACATGAGTCCCAAAACCAGCTCCTGCACTTGTGAACTGAACTCTGAGTAAATGTAGGTCTGTCCGTGTGTTGCAAATGTTTTACAAATCCTGTATTACACACACAGGTACACAAAGTGAGCAACAAACTGCTTTAGACAGTTCACAAATATTTTATGAGCACAGATATAATGAGCTGACTTTCTACCCATAGTTTGTTTATGAACATATGTTTCCAGCTGTAATAATTCCAGTGACCAGTGGAAATTATTTCCAGTGAGCCTCAATTATTCAATTAACTGGAGGGGATAATCACTCCCATTCAGGGTCTGCGAGAATTCAGATAAGCAGAGTTTTGGCTGTGAACTGACCCACATTCAATTTAATCTCCCCCTCTCTGCGGTGCGACTGCTCCGTCACGATAGGAGCGCCATTATCGAGAAAACATCCCGTTTCTCGAATTGGAACAGTAGGAACGGGTTAATTATGTAAAAAAGTGGAGAGGAGTGGGCATCGTGTCTGAGCCGGTCAGAGTTAGCCTCAGAGGAAGGAAACCGGTGACCACCTCGTACTCCGTTTGAACCCCGGATCAGTGAAGCAATTTGAGTCAGTTGGGTATCATTTTGGAGCTCCCTCGGGGCGTCCTTGAGGAGGTACACCACCGCAGTGCGGGGGAATCCCTCCCCAGCTCCCCTCCTCCTGCGGCTGCCGGAGACTGATAAAAATAGCATTGTCCCTTCATGAGAGCAAACATGATTAAATTGTGAATTTTGCTCGAAATGGCCGAGTTGGCCTTCTGCGTTTCGGATAATATCCTCACTGTCTAATATCGTGAGATGTATTGCTTCATAAAAAGGGAAAAGGGGTTGGGAACAAACAATTTACAACAGCGTTTTCTCTCCTTCCTGCAGCACACATAACTATCCAGCTCCATTCACCAGTAGAAATGCTTCCTCCTGATGAGCCCTTTCAAGTATCTGCCATGTCAGACATTACTTCAACCACTTTTGGCTTGGCCGGTAGATCCCGATATGTGGGTGAACAGCAAGACATTTTCCTTTAATTAGGTCCCAGAAGTGTGTCAAAAGCTTAAATAACATATGCTGTTTGAAAAGGCAGCAAACATGGGCAAAACATGTTTTTAGCGGCTAAGAATAAAGACACGAAGAGAGCCTGTTATGGACCCAAAGGTCCAGGAAGAGCCACACTAAAAAGCAGAAGAAGAAGAAGAAGAAACGCTGCATGCAGGAACATGTTTCGTTCATGTAAATACAATAAACTAAAACACTTTTTCTTTACCAAAGCTCACTACACCTGTACAGTTGTCTTCTACAAACACTTGATAAATAAGTAGCACTAAATAATAAACAAACAAGATTAATTGCTACGTAAAACCACGTAAAAAACTCTTAATGGTAGACCTTTTTTTTTTTGCCCGACTCATGTGAAAGAAAACGTAATGAAAATTTGTTAGCATATCTAATTAGCATAACTAGCCTAAATTAACCTTCCCCTCATATAACTGATTGGCTGTTGTGTATACACGTGTAAAAATGGCCGCCCTCTTGACAGGGATGTAACATAATGCTGTGCATGGGTCAGGATTAACATCTGGAACACTAAACATCCCAATCACCGTCTGTGTTCTCCAATCAATCATCTGAGAACCTCTGCTCCACGAACACAAGTCATTTTACAATTCAACATCAGAGCAACTAAGCAAACACAGAAATTAGAGTCAAACCTCTAATGTTGTATGTAGCTGCTTTGTTTTTTAGCTGGCTTTTACAAAAACTTTCGTATTTTTGTACACTCAGTTTCAGTTCTCTCTCCACTGGAGAGCTGGGCAGAGGTCACTGTGCTGTATTGTGCCCAGTGTGGCTC